AAGCATGGCGTGATGCTCTTCTTCTCTCCAGCGATGTCCATCCCACATACAGACTCACATCAATTCAATCTATGCAGTATTTTTGTTGAAGATATTTTTACTTCATAACGATCTTTACAGTAGCTGCTTTCTATTTGAGGAAAAAAGATATATATTTTGCATTAATCAATTATATTTTCTTTATTTTATGTACTACCGAGACTGATTTGATTTTCTATTCGCATGATAAATTTATTTATAAGTGACGATTAAAAAAAACATTACTTAAAAGATTTAAAATTGAATTTTTAATCAAATAAAATAAAATAAAATAAACACAGTGAACAAGAACTTTTATTTTCTAAGAGCAAATAGAATAGCAGCTATGGTAAAAAATCCCACACTCCATGCACTAGCATTAACAAAACCAAACCATACTTTAAAATAAAAAATTGACCAACCTAAATATAATATCAATTTATCTATTGATTTAAATAAAAAAAAACAAATCGAATACCTCTTGCAGCTATACATCGCATTGCCTCGATAGGATGTGTTAATGGACTGAAATTACTTAGAAAACGCATTACTGGTGACATGCCTTCAAGTGGCCATATAACACCTTTAAGTATGAATTACTTATTCATGAAGAAAAAACAATAATTAAGTTCCAAAAAAACCAACCTGAAACAAGAAAAACAGGAAAAACGCTTCCAAGTGCAACTTGCATAACTTCAGTTTCTTGTTCACATAGTGAAGATATTAAAAGACCTTTAGAAAAGATAAATAATTTATTCTATTTCAAAAAATAAACAACAAAACATATTCTTTACTTACCATAACTCATTCCACAAAGTCCTTCAAGAAAAATTAATGTCGCTGCTAAGAAAATTGAACCTTTAATTTCAACCTTAATTTAAAAATTAAATAAATAAATAACAAATAAAATTGAAAACAAACTTTAAAAATAACATCTGCAAAAACAAGTAAAAGGATAATTTGAATAGCTTGAATAAAAAATTTAACAACAATATGAGCAAACATAACTTCAATTGTTGTAACACCAGCAATCCAACTACGTTCTAAAAGGCCTTCTTTTTTTTCAACAACAAATATTAATGCTGTTAAACCAACTGCCAAAAAAAATATTATTGATATCATCATTCCTGGTGCAGCAAAATTTAAAAATTGTGGAACAAGATTTCCATAAAGAGGAGTTTCTAGTATTACTGGAGGATCAGCTATTGATGGATCAATTTTATAACTGGATAAAACTTCTTTTAAAAATAATTCTGTACTATTTATCAAAGCAGTTTGCATTGTTAATGACACTTGTTGATCTTAATATAGAAGACAAATATTTCATTTTTGAATTTTTTAAAGGACTTAACATGAACAAGATCTCATAAATGGTCATGTAGAATAAAGTGGACCGCAAAAGCTTAAGATACTTTTATTTTTGAAGTTTTCCATCGAAGATGAGTAGCTAGGTCAAATCGAAATAGTGATTTGAATAGTTCTTGAAATTCTCTATCGAATAGAATATGTGTCAAATTTTCAAAAGAAACTTTGTCAAGACAGTTTTCCAGAAAACCATGCCAGGAGAACTTTAACAGAAAGATTTTTTTAAGATAATCATTTGAAAGAGCAGAAAATTCTGAAGAAAATGACGGATCGCTCAGCTCTGTACGATATTCCATCACAATGTTATAAACATTAGAAAAAACGCGTTTTTCGTCGATTTTTACCAAAATAAAGCCCTAAAATTCGATTAAAGCCTCATTCTTTCATTTTTTAAAATGCTTATAACTTTGTGACGCAATATGTAGAGAGCTGAGCGACCCTTGATTTTCTTCAGAATTTTCACCTCTTTGAAATGATTATATTGAAAAATCTTTCTGTTAAAATCCTCTAGAACTTGAAATCTCTCTGGCATAATTTTCTGGAAAACTCTGTTGACAAAATTTCTTTTGAAAATTTGACACATATTCTATTCGATAGGGAATTTCAAGAGCTATCTAAACCATTATTTAGATTTGACCTAGCTACTCATCTTCGATGAAAAACTTCAAAAGTAGAAGTGTCTTAAACTTTTGCGGTCTACTTTATTTTGTATTGGTATGATAAAACTAAAGAAGAAATGTGAGTTTCATATTTCAGTTCCAAAGATGTTGCACTAACAAACTTTTTCAGAAAAGTTCTAAGTTAAGTAAGCATTTAAGCAACATTTTCAAAAGGATAATATCTGACAATTCTCGAATGTTGATCTTCTCTACATTGACTGGCAACAGCAAAAAGAATGATAGAAGCTAATGAAACAGCTAACATTTTGGATATGAAGAAATTATATTGTGATAATTTTCAGATATACATAATTAACCCTTTACCCTCCACGGCGGTTCCAGAAGAGCCACCGGTGGAATATCTATATAAATAGAGTACTAGCGTGTCTAGTGTGACAATCCCGTGGTCTGATTTACCGAATGTCTACCTCTTTGTGTAGGACCCTTTAATTGGTCGGTTAACCCTGTGATG